ATTATTTTCTTTTTCTATTGCTGTGATTAAGCACTCAGACAAAAGCAACTTAAGGGGAAAAAAAGGTTTAATTTAACTCATACTTTAAAGTCATAGTCCAACATGGCATGGAAGGTAAAAATCAAGAGCTTGAAATAGCTTTTTACACATTACATCTGCAGTCAGAAGACAATGCATGTTTTCTCCACTCTTTTTTAATTTAAATTTAAATTTTTTTCTTCACAATTTATTCATTATATATCCCAATTAAAAACCCCTCCCTCAACTCCCCCAGTCTCACCCTCTCTCCCTCTTCCTCCCATCCCCTTCCCCTAGTCCACTGAAAGGAGGAGTCCTCTACTCTTGCCATCTGTCCATGGCTTATTAAGTCTCACCAGGACTGCCTGGATCCTCTTCCTCCATAACCTGGCAAGGCTGCATCACCAGGAGCCAGTGATCAAAGAGCAATCAATTGAGTTCATGATAGAGGCAGCCCCTGTTCCCCTCACTCAGAAATCTACATAGAGAGTGAGCTGCCAATTGGCCACATCTGAGCAGGGTGTCTAGGTCCCTTTATGCATGGTCCTCCATTAGTGCATCAGTCTCTGCAGGACCCCCTGGACTCAGATCTTTGAATCCCCACCTAAAGGATGATGCCACCCACAGTGATTGGCCATTTTCCACTTTGATTAATGTATTCAAGGTAATTCTTTGTAGAGCTGCCCAGAGGCCCTACCCCTCCCCAAGGTGTGCTAACTTCTGTCTGGTTAACATTTAAACACTAATCAACACCATGCTCATGGATCTGTGTCATTAAACTTACAGGCTGTTCTGCATGGAGCCAGCACCATTCTTGATTTTCTTGACTTCATCCCCTACACTTCCCTCTTGTCCATACCCTTTGCCCCTTGGCTTTTCTACTAAATGCCAGGCTATGGGAAGCAGGTCTTGTATTCATTACCAAGTGTAAGCTTTCTCCAGAAGTACCTTTCGTTCTTAAAGATCTTCTAGATCAATTTAGAAACACAAGACGCAATTAATTAACAAGCAAGATCAACTATAAAATATGTGATTTGAACTGGCCTAGAGTTGTCAGTGCAAGATAATGAAAGGTGACAGAGTTTTATCTAACTCTTGTATGAGTAGGAAGCAAAAAAATGAGAGACATTCTCTGCAGGGCAACACTGTAGATAGTGTGGCTCCATAGGCAGATGGCGCAGTTGCTATGTGGATAATCATGATGATGTAGGACTAGGTCTGAAACATTGTGGACTGTCTATATCATACCTTCCCCAAGGCTCAGACTATTGTGACTAGACAAGGCAGCCCAGTTAGGGGAAAGGGATCCCAAGTCAGGCAATAGAGTCAGATACCGCTCCTGCCCCTGCTGTTAGGAGTCCCACATGAAGACCCATCTGCACATCTGTTACATATGTGCAGAGGGCATAGGCCCCTACTATTCATGCTCTCCAGTTGGTGGCTCAGTCACTGTGGGACCCTATGAGCTCAGGTTAGTTGGTTTCGTATGTTTTCTTGTGGTGGCCTGGACAACAATCCTTCGTTGTCCCCCTCTTCCATAGACTTCCTCAACTCTGTCTAATGTGTGAGTCTCCATATCTGTTTCTTTTTTTTTTATCATCAATTGCATTTTATTTATTTTTTTTGTATTTTATTTTTTTCTTATCAGTTACATTTTATTAACTCTGTACCCCAGCCGTGTCCCGATCCCTCATTCCCTCCCAGTCCCTCCCTCCCTCCCTCCTCTCCACCGCGCCCCTTGCCAAGTCCACTGATAGGGGGGACCTCCTCCCCATTCATCTGATCCTGTTTTATCAGGTATCTTCAGGACTGGCTGCATAGCTCTCCTCTGTGGCCTACCAGGACTGCTCCTCCATTGGGGGGTGGGGAGGCCAAAGAGCCAGTCATTGAGTTCCTGTTAGAAATAGTCCTTGTTCCCCTCACTATGGGAAACCAATTGGTTACTGAGCTACCACAGGCTACATCTGAGCAGAGGTTCTAGGTTACATTCATACATGGTCCTTGGTTGCATGTCAGTCTCAGAAAAGACCCTGTGCCCAGATATCTTTGGTCCTTGTGGAGCTCCTATCCTTTCCTCATCAGACTAACTCCCCTTCTTTCTTATGATTCCCTGTACTCTGCCAAAGGTTTGGTCATGAGTCTTTGCTTTGAAAACACTGCTAGTTAGAGTCTTTCCAATGCGCTCAATAGACTCCTGTCATACGTTCAATGCACATCCCATCTGTCATTCTAAACGAGGATTGATCATCTTACCCCATGTCCACTCTCTTGATTATCTTTTATAGGTGTACAGATTTCATTATGTTTATTATATCTTATAGGTCTATATAAGTGAGTATATACCGTGTTTGTCTTTCTCCTTCTGGGATATTTCACTCAGGATGATCTTTTCTAGGTCCCACCATTTGCCTGCAAATTTCATCCACATCTGTTTCCATCAGTTGCTGGGTGAAGTTTCTCAGATGACAGTTATGCTAAGTACCTCTCTGGAAGTACAGTAGAATATCATTAATAGTGTCAGATAATAGTGTCAGAGATTGTCTCTCCTCTCTCTCTCTCTCTCTCTCTCTCTCTCTCTCTCTCTCTCTAAGTATCAAGCTGAGCCGGTAAGGCAGGAGAAATTGTCAGTCTAAGGTTTTGGGGCTGGGTCAGTGGCCAGTCCCTCCATCAGAAGTTGCAGTTAGCTCTAGTTGCAGGAGATGGCTGTTTGAGGCTCTCTATCCCACAGTTCTGGGATTCTTAGCTAGGGTCATGCTGACAGCTTCCTGGGAGTTTCCATTGTCCTAGCTTTCTGGCTCTTCCCAGAAAGAGCCCCCCACACACACACACACACATTCCAGTGCTTTCTCCCAGTACTCTCTTCCTCCATCCTTCTCACACTTGATCTCTTCTGTTCCCCTCCCATTCCTCTCCCACCTGGATCCCTTCATCCATCCACCCCTGGTGTCTATTCTATTTCCCCTTCTTAGTGAGATTCAAATGTCCCCCAACTTGGACCCTCCTTATTACTTAGTTTCTTTGTGTCTGTGGCTTGTAGCACAGTTATCCTGTATTTTATGGCTAGTATCCACTTAAAAGTGAGTACATGCCATATTTATCTTTCTGAATCTGGGTTATCTACTCAGGATGATATTTTCTAGTCCATGAACTTGGAATAGAAAATTCCTGCAAATTTCACAATGCTGTTGTTTTTAATAGATGAATAGTATCCATGTGTGAATGTACCACATTTTCTTTATCCATTCTTTGGTTGAGGAACATCTGGGTAGTTTCCAGTTTTTGGAGATTATAAATAAAGCTGCTATGAATATAGCTGAGGAAGTGTCTTTGTGGTATGGTTGGTGGGAGCATATTTTGGGTATATGCCCAGGAGTGGTATAGCTGGGTCTTGAGGTAGAACTAGTCCCAATTTTCTGAGAAACCTCCAGGTTGGTTTCCAAGTGGTTGTACAGGTTTCACTCCCAACAACAACGGAGCAGGGTCCCCCTAATTCTGCATCCTCACCAGCACATGCTATTGCTTGAGTTTTTGATCTTAGTCATTCTGACCAGTGTAAAGTAGAATCTCATATTTGTTTTTATTTACATTTCCCTGATGACTTAGAACCAAAAACATTTTAAGTGCTTCTCAGCCATTAAGAGATTCCTCTGTTGAAAATTCTTTTTTTAGATCTTTACCCCATTTTTGAATTGGGATATTTAGTTTGTTGCTGTTTAATTTTTTGAGTTCTTTATATATTTTTTATACTAGTCCTCTGTCAGATGTAGGGTTGGTAAAGATCTTTTCCCAATCTGTAGGCTGATGTTTTGTCCTGTTGACAGTGTCCTTTGCCTTACAGAAGCTTTTTACTTTCATGTGGTCTCATTTATTGTTGATCTTACTGCCTGAGCGGTTGGAACTCTGCTCAGGAAGCTGTCTCCTGTGCCGGTATGCTCAAGGCCATTCCCCACTTTCTCTATCAGATTTAAGGTATCTGCTTTTCTGTTGAGGTCTTTGGTCCACTTGGACTTGAATTTTGTGCAGGGTGATAGAAAAACCTATTTGCATTCCTCTACATGCAGACATCCAGTTAGTCCAGCACAATTTGCTGAAGATGCTGTCTTTTTTTCAATTGTATGGTTCGGTTTCTTTGTCAAAAATCAAGTGACCATAGGTACAGGAGTATCCTTCCAGGTCAGTTTGATTCCACTGACTGACCTGTCTGCTTTTATATCAAGACCATCCATTTTTTTCTCAGTAGTACAGCTTGGAATCAGGGATGGTGATACCTCCAGAACTTCTTTTATTGTACAGGATTGTTTTAGCTGTCCTGGCTTTTTGTTTTTCCTTATGAAGTTGGGTATTGTTTTTTTCAAGTTCTATAAAGACTTGTGTTGGGATTTTGATGGGAGTTTCATGGAATCTGTAGACTGCTTTCTGTAAAATGGTCATTTTTACTATGTTAATTCTACTGATCCATGAGATATTTCTATCTTCTGATACCTTCTTCAGTTCTTAAAATTTTTGAAGTTCTTGTCATATAGGTCTTTCAGTTGTTTGGTTAGAAATAGACCAAGATATTTTGTATTCTTCATTGCTGTTTTGAAGGGTGTTGCTAGAGACTAGGCTCACAATCAAAAATATATTGTCTATTTTTAAGTTTTTTTTGGCTGTTTTCCTATTAGAATCTGGACTCCATAAAGAGCATGAGCTTGCATGTCGTATCTTCTATTTTATCTCCCAACCCTACGATAATGCCTAGGCATATAGGAAATGATAAAAAATAGGGATAAACAAATGTACAAAATTGGTTAACTTTGCATTTTCCAAATAATTGAGAAAGCAGAGAACCTGCCTTTTTCCCATGTGTTTTTGACCCCATGGAGTTTCATTTTTCTCTGCTGCCATGGCACTACATTTCTTGACATTTTCCTAGGCATTCAAATATTCCCATTTTGTTACCTTTTAGGTCTTGAATTACTGTCTTTGTTTATATCTTCTAGGCAAAGACTGCCACCAAAAAATGTTTACTATTATCGCTGCCCAGACCACCGGAAGAATTATGTGATGTCCTTTGCATTCTGTTTTGATCGAGAAGATGATATTTACCAGTTTGCTTACTGTTACCCATATACATATACTCGCTTCCAGCATTACCTGGACAGCCTACAAAAGAGAAACATGGATTACTTCTTGCGGGAACAACTTGGACAGAGTGTGGTAAGGCCAAAATCTTGCTTAGGGTACCAATTTTGAAAAAGGCAGCAATAAAATAAAAATTTGGCAATGGAGTTTTGCAGAATACAAATTTGAAAATAGCGTTCTGTAGACTGTATGCTCTAGACCATTTACAAATTTTAAAATAGTAAATAGAAAGCTTTAAATAATTATTCTGTATTTTGCAATAATCATGTAGAGATTATTTTGAATACTGTTTTTGAATATGTGATTCATTGCTCCAAGGGCACCAGACATAGAATAAGATTTGACACAGATGTTTGTCATTATGAAGGAAACAGAAACAAAGTATCCCAAAGTCACTCAGAGAAAAGCAGGTGTCTACTGGGTGCTGAAAAAGCCATGAAAGCATTTCATAATGGCAAACCTGTGAATGGGGAGTAAATTTGTTTCTTAGTGAAGCCAGCTTTCCTTGAGTACAGGTTAGCAACTGGCATGCTGACCAAATGTACTTTCTGTCTCTGTCCTCAGTCACTTTAATTCTATATTGTGCCCTAAGGCAGACATATTGAACAGTCACCAAAAGTTCCAAGTAAATCTACTAATGGAACTAGAAGACAATACTAGGGCTTTTATCATGGTGGTGAAATGTCTTTTAAGCTAAAAATGGGCCACATGGTGTTGTATCAATCAACATGTCAACAGGAAGCAAATGGAAGGATCAAATGGGGATATTTTAAGAAAGACTCTATTTAAAAGCTATATAGACAGTACATAGGGAAATAAGATACAGCAATGTTTTCTTGGTTCAATAATAGGTCAAAGGGCACAAATGTAGAACAAGATTGTCTGAACCAAACCATAGATTGACTTAGTGGACTACTTGGAGAAGAAGAGTTACCTTACTTACGACGTACAGTTAGTCTGAGACGCCGTTTCAGGAAATAAATTGAGACAATGAATACAATCACAGACTTCTTAGTTGAAGGAATATGTTTTGAGAAATATCGCATGTAGTTTTGTAAGAGTTTTGCCAAATATACTTACACTAACTAAAGCAGGTTTATCATTACTAGGTAGTATAATCTTTCGGGACCACCTGTGACGATGTGTCTGCCATTAAGCAAAATGTTGTATATCGCATGAATGTAGGTAGTCTGCTTTCTCTGACTTCTGTCTGGCGTCCCACTAAGCTCCCTACTGAGCAACCCAATCATAAAGCAAGAAAGCCCACTGATGTGCGCCATGCAAACCATTCTCCCCAGGAAAACATGGGGGTGGAGAAGGGCAGAGAATGGATGTAGAGTAAAAAGAACCTATTAGACATGTAATCATATTAGTGGCAGATTTCTAGAGTCTGGGATTATTCAAAATGGAATTGGTAGAGAAAGTGTAAAATGAATGTTTATCAGGTATATGCGTTGGTAGATAATTTAAGAAAAATAAACTCCCTTTAGTATTTATGCACTTAAGAAGGGAATCTGTTTATTTTTCTCATTTGTCCACCAGGCTATTGAGTGAATAATTGCATTAATGAAAGAATAAATTAAGATACATGTTTCAGGGTATTATTAAGAGATGCAAATAGTAAGCCATTGCTAAAAGAACAATATGATAAGCTTCTAAAAATATCTGAATAGCAAAAATAACCTCTTAAACAAAATAGACATTACTTTCTTTTCTTCTATTATTGTTTTATACAATATATTTTTATCATTAGATGTTTTTCTTCTTTGCAAGTGTGAATGCTATCCATCTACAGCAGATTCTCTATCCCTGCTCTTTGAAAACCTTGGGGAGTCATGTTCTTTCAGCTTTCTGTCTTTGTCATCCATGGGAAGTGACCTTCATCCTCATTATCAGATATAGAATTCTACATTGCACCTATCTTCTGAGCATAAGAATGAAAGGGGTGAGTAAAAGAAAATAAGTAGCAGCGGGTGTGGTGGCACGCACCTGTAATCCCAGCACTCAGGGAGGCAGAGGCAGGCAGTTCTCTGTGAGTTCAAGGCCAGCCTGGTCTACAGAGTGAGTCCATGACAGCCAGGTTTGTCTATGACAGAAGAAAAAAAAACATGTATCTGAATAAACAAATAAACAAACAAACCAAGGAAGTGCCATATAGTGTGTCATTCAGTAGAATTCCTACTCATATTTAAGTAAAATAAAGGTTTGAAATGAAGTCTTTGTTCTAAGTGGCCATGTTCTGTCTAGTAATTGATTATAAAGGATCATTGATATCGAGGGACAACTAGGGTCTCTGACAATTAAGGAATCCTTAATTCTATTTCCACCTCTAACATCACACTGCTTGTATGTTATTTCCCCTTTCATGGGTGGTTTTTCATTCTTATTACTAAGTTTCTCAGAAAAAAAATGTAAATGTGTTTTAGATGCCATAAGAAGCATAGTACAGACTTATGAGACAGTGATACAAACTCATTGTTTCCAGAAATAAATGCACTCTATATCAGAGAAAATATACAATCCCAAATATATTTTAAAACATATAATTAAAGATATAAATTATTTAACAAGTTCATGTTCAGAACAGCAGGTACAGGATGAGTTTTAACCTGAGTACTGAGAGATGAATAGAGTTACTAAATACAAAACTGAGAATAAGGTTACCCAGAAAACAGAGGGACAGAGTCATTGTACAATGACCTTTAGTTAGACATCTGGCTTTTGGGGATAGGGAATTCCCGGAAGATTAAGGTATACAGGAAGATTGGAGTCAATTTCTTGGAAAACGTTCACTGTTGTATTGGCTATATTGGATATTTTACTTTATATGCACAGTTCTAATCATATCTCACAGTAGCTTATAGAGCAGGAAAAAAATTGCCCAGGGATTAAATAAAGCTAAAAAAAAAGAAAAAAAAAGAAAAAAGAAAAGAAAAGAAAAAGTAAGTTCTTTTGCTATGTTCACATGGAAGAGGGTCAAGGTTTAAACTAAGCCTTTAATTCTAATACACTTCACTGCCCCTGTGATACACACATTGAAACTCATTTTTTTTCTGTTTTTTAATTTTTATATTAATTTCAGTTTATTAACTTTGTAATCCAGCTGTAGCCCCTCCCTTATTCCCTCTCAATCCCACCATCCCTTCCTTATCTCCTTCCATGCCTCTCTCCAAGTCTACTGATAAAGGAGATCCTCCTCCCCCTCCATCTGACCCTAGCCTGTCAGGTCTCCTCAGACTGGCTGCATTGTCTTCATCTGTGGCCTGGCAAGGCTGCTACCCCATCAGGGGGAGGTGATCAAAGAGCCAGCTTCTGAGTTCACGTCAGAGACAATCCCTGTTCCTCTTACTAGGGAACCTTCTTGGATTCTGAGCTGCCATAGGCTATATCTGAGCAGGGTTTCTAGGTTATAGCTATGAATGGTCTTTGGTTGGAGTATCAATCTCAGAAAAGAACCCTATACCCAGAGTTTTTGGTTCTCTTGCTCTCCTTTTGGAGTGCCTGACCTCTCCAGGTCTTACTATCGCCCTCTTATTTCATAAGATTCCCTAAATTCTGCCCAAAGTTTAGTTATGAGTCTCAGCTTCTGCTTTGATATCCTGCTGGGTAGAGTCTTTCAGAGGCCCTCTGTGGTAGGTTCCTGTCCTGTTTCCTGTTTTCTCCTTCTTCCAAAGTCCATTTTGTTTGTCTTTCTGAGTGAGGATTGATCATCTTACCTCAAGTCGTCCTTCTTGCTTAGCTTCTTTAGGTGTACAGAGTTTAGTATGTTTATCCTATATTATATGTCTAGCATCCACTTATAAGTGAGTACATGCCATGTGTGTCTTTCTGCTTCTGGAATAACGTCACTCAGGATGCTCTTTTCTAGATCCCACCATTTGCCAGCAGATTTCATGATTTCCTTGATTTTAATTGCTGGGTAGTATTCCATTGTATAAATGTACCACAATTTCTGTATCCATTCCTCTGTTGAGGGACATTTGGGTTGTTTCTAGGTTCTGGCTATTACAAATAAAGCTGCTACTAACATGGTTGAGCAAATGTCCTTGTTGTATACCTGAGCATATTCAGAGTAAAGGACTGTAAAAAATGTTTTTCAAGCAAAGGTGCCCAGAAAACAAGCTGTGGTAGCTTTCCTAATATATAATAAAATAGACATTCAATCAAAATTAATCAAAAAAGATAAGGAGGGGCATTTCATTTTCATCAAAGGAAAACTCCACCAGGAGGACATCACAATTCTGAACATCTATGTCCCAAATACAAGAGCACCCACATTTGTAAATGAAACATCATTAAAGCTTAAATCGCACATGGACCTCACACCTTAATAGTGGGAGACTTCAACACTCCATTTTCACTAAGATCATCTGGACAGTAGCTAAATGGGGAAATAATGGCACTTACAGAGGTCCTAAATCAAATGGACCCTAATAGATGTCTACAGAACTTTTCACCCAAATTCAAGAAAGTATACCTTCTTTTCAGCACCTAATGGAACCTTCCCCAAAACAGAACATATAATTGGTCACAAAGCAAACCTCAACAGATACAAAAAGATTGAAATAATCCCTTGTATCCTATTTGACCACCATGGACAAAAGCTGGACCTCAACAATAATAGAAATAGCAAAAATCCTATACACACATGGAAACTGAGCAACTCGCTACTCAATAACAGCTAGATTAGGGAAGAATTAAAGAAATTAAGGACTTCCTAGAATACAATGAAAATGAAGGCACAACATACCCACATTTATGGGACACTATGAAAGCAGTACTATGAGGGAAATTCATAGCACTAAGTGCCTTCAAGAAGAAATTTGAAACATCTCATACAAGCAACTTAATGGCTCACCTGAAAGCCCTAGGGGAAAAAAAAAAGGAGCAGACACACCCAAGAGACTCATCTTAGGAAAGTAAATCTGATGAATGTTCAAAGTCCACCTGTGCCATATGAAGCAGCTCACGGAATTCTGTGGGTTGATTCAATCCCTCTAGGTTGAGACTCAAAGCAGATGCTAAAGTTTTGTGGGCTTTCTGGCATACTTTTGCAGGCAGAACAACTCTTGGTT